AGAGGTTCAGTTTCCCTGGAACAACAAGATAAACAGATTCCCTTAGAAGTGCCTAGGAAAGATGCGAGGATGGCTCGTAAGATAGAAATGCTTTTGAATGGATAAAAAGAAAAGAGCTCTCACCTATTCAAGGGCCAAACCTTGCCACTGATAAGTTCCAGGGTTGAGCAACGTGAAATCCTGGCCAAAATCAAACTCTGCATATAAAGACATGCAAGAAAATACTCAACAGAGACGTGCCATAGCTCACTCTCGTTGCCTAAGATACCCTCTTTCTCCACCAAGCCAAACAAATGGAAGCAAACAGCCCATCAAATGGGGGTGGCGAAATCTGAGTATCCCCAGAATCTTACAGATTCTGAAAAAATATACAGTTTCCAAGGCCAAGACAGGCCCACACATGCACAGTCACTCTCATGCTTCCAGAAGACATTAAGAACTCATGTTAGCAGCTGGTCAGGGGAACAGACACACAAAGTCTAGGATACAGCACAAATATAGACAAAATGGTCAGAGGCTTGTGGATGGCATTAGATTGCTCTGTTCTTTTATGTGCAACCACAGACCGCAGACGGTAATTCTGGCCCATGGATTTACACAGCGTTTACACCTGAGAAGTGGAGAGAGATTGAGACATTTATGTATACATCTATGGATATTGAGGCTGCTATGAAAGAGACACCAAGGACTGAACGTTCACATTCCCCCACCCCTCTCTCACTTACACATACTCATAGACAACATGAGCAAAGGAGCTATATAAGAACACATGCATTGGAGATACATAAAACAAGCTCAGAATCCAGATTCTGGCACAGTAGTAGACATTCTGAGCATCTCCTGCTCCTTTTATTTTTTTGTTGAAAACCGGTAAATTTCTAACCTTCATGACTAGTGTCTAGTGAACACTCAGAAATCAAGGGAGGGAGAAGCCACATTCCCCTCCACAATAACCACCACGTCCCTTTCAGCTTGTCATCTCCCCCACTTGCTGTCAAACATGGTAGGTTATTTGAAGAAACTCTTCTCCCATGGAAGCAACATTATGAGAAGAAGTAAAATTAGACTAAACCAGGCTTCCTCAACCTCGGCCCTCCAGATCTTTTTGGCCTACAACTCCCATGATCCCTAGCTAGCAGGACCAGTGGTCAGGGATGATGGGAACTGTAGTCTCAAAACATCTGGAGGGCCAAGGTTGAGGAAGCCTGGCCTAAAGTATGCAAATGTAAATTCACAGTAGCATAACATGAGTTTAGTTTGCTTTTAGGATTTGCATCTCTGGGGAGCGGAATATAGAATTTCACCAACACTGCACTAGTGTTTAGGCGTTTGTACATTCACAGCCCCTGAACGCAGTTGCACACTGCTAAGATTGGGACATGGGTGATGGTGCTCACAAAGCACAACGGGTTCTGACTTCTGTGCATGCACACGGACACCTGTGCATGCAATAGCACAGGATGCACTCACAACAGGCCTTGTCAAACCCATGGGCAGTGTACAAGCATATTTGCAGGTCTATGACTAGCAAAGGTGAGCATGTGCATGCAAACCAAAGCAGTGCACCATTGCACATGCGCAGCACAAGGACCACCTCTGGTGCTCCAATCCTCTTCTTATGCAGCTATGTGACACATAAGATTTCATGCTCATCCAGAAGTCGCAAAGAAACAAATATAACAACGGGCACATGTTGGCACAAGTGGAACCACATCGGTACAAAAACCATTGTACAAAATCCAACACATGTGCTGTAACTTCTATGTAGCACAGCTGAGCTTAGAAAAAAAGACTGGTTTTTCCCTGTCACACTTCAATCTGTTTAGAATCTCACCACATTCATCTATGTTCATCTTGACACATTGATTAAATACACCCCACACCTAGTGCAGCTATACTTCTTTCCACACCACAGCCACCTGCAACATACATATTCCAGTATAACTGTGTGCGCGCGCACAAAAAAGCTTGTAGTGCCTACATACTTGCCCTAACAGATGACACTTTGGTATTTCCCCCTGCTTCTGCACATACAACACTTGTTGTCACAGCTGCCTACACCAGCATGTCATCCCTGGCATTTTTGCAAGTGGTCATGCGCATGTTGCACGTGTGACTAACCCTCCTGTTTGCACGGCTGCCCTGCATGGCAAACCTTTGTGCAGTATTATAACACCTTTGTACTGCAATGCATATGCAGACAAATATGCACATAAGAATGGTTCTCGGTCAGTGAGCGTGCATTATCTCCTGCCCCCGGGAAGCAGAAAATGCAGCACTTACTGTTGCTTGTGCAAATGGGTTGTACATCACAGCTTGGAGCACGCTTGTGAAACAGTGATGGGGCATGTTGATTGTTATGAGCCTGCCTAACATGTGTCTGACCACAGCATCACACACACACACACACACACACACACACACAGTCTATGTTTTTCATCTTCTTTTGCACACCTGCACCTGAGCTGTATTAAATATAGCTATGGGTGATCGCTGAATTTGGGAGAATGAAGGTGGGAATCACACAAATAATCTTATCATTAACCCCTCCAATAGACAGCTTTACTTCAGTTGTAATACAATAGCTGCTTGCAGATAGGAAAGGTAGCCCTGGAAACACCTAATAAAGGACCCCCAATTTTTAATCAACATATTAATAACTCTCCACCTTTGGGAGATATATGATGTGATTATGCCTTATAGCCTGATACTTTCTTTGTCTATAGGCACCTCCATTTTTAACTGAACCAACATCCTGCTTCATTTTCCTTAGCCATCATGTATTTCCATCTCCCAAACACTTGCACTGGATTCTCTTCAGCTATGTTTCCACATTGGTCCTCCACTCCCTGCAACATCTACTTCGAAATCCCATCCCCGCACCGTCAAGCTGGCACCTGCCATTCCGATCCCCTGCTTCTGCTAAGACCCCACTCTGCAAAATATATTGATGGGAATATATTGATAACACAATATATTAAGGGTTTGGGTCGGAGCCTCAGACTCTTATGCTCATAGGACTGTGTGGTGTAGGGTAATGAAGAAAAATCAGGCAGGGTGCAAGACGCACAGGAAGAAGCTGTTTGGAAAGAGATTTGGTGGCAAGGCACAGGTTCAAAACAGCAGGAATCTAGAAGACCATAGAGTGCTGGGGGCCATTGAGTAGCATGGGCAAAAGGGATGGAATCAGTGGCGTAGCATGGGGGGTGCAGGGGGGGGCCGGCCGCACCGGGCGCAACATCTGGGGTTAGGGCAAATCCACAGGTTAGGGGGCGCAAATCCACGGGTTAGGGGGCGCAAATCCACGGGTTAGGGGGCGCAAATTACTTGCCTTGCCCCGGGTGCTGACAACCCACGCTACGCCACTGGATGGAATTGTGGGTATGGGCCAATTAAGCAAAAACTAGAGGGGGCTGTGGGTTTTTTAAAAATCTGATGGAGTAGCATTGGGTGGAGTGTCATAGGTTTCTTGGTGGAACAGGGTGCAGGTTCCCTAAAGGAAAGAGCAGAGGGGGTTGCCTAGAGATAGAATGTGGGTTGCTTTAGCCAAGCAGGGGCGAGGAACGGCTGGGCAGAATGATGGAGCCGATGTCGGCTGCGCCTGTGAGCAATGTTGAAATTTGACAGCGCTCAGGGACAACGGGTGTTTGGGGGCAGTGGCGTAGCGTGGGGGGTGCAGGGGGGGCCGGCCGCACCGGGCGCAACATCTGGGGTTAGGGCAAATCCATGGGTTAGGGGGCGCAAATCCACGGGTTAGGGGGCGCAAATTACTTGCCTTTCCCCGGGTGCTGACAACCCACGCTACGCCACTGTTTGGGGGTCTTTAGGGGGCCCAGACGGGAACAAAGTCGGGGGGGGGGGAGAGCGCACGCTGTAAATTATCGGGTGTGCAAAATGGAAAAGAGAACTTGGTGGGGAAAGGGGGTCTGGTGGAGCTGGGTTTTCCTTTAAGTGGGGGCATCCAAGGCTCAAAGGGTAACCAGGGACAGCGGAGCAGAGCTACAAACAAGGTTGGTCAAGGGATCTGGGAAGAAATGAGTGGAGGGGGAAGACTTCTGTGCTTGGGGAATGGGCAGAAGGAAGGCGATTCTGGAGGAGACAGGCCCCTGGAGAAACAGAGAGGGCCTTTGGTGAGCTGCTGCTTCCATGAAAGAGACGACTGGGGAGGGGGTTAGAGGCTAGAGGCGCCTCCCCAGCTTTGGCGGTGGGGCACCCTCTAGATCCCCAGCGCTGGCCATCACGGCAGGTCGACCTACCTATCTGGAGAGGCTCCAGGGCCCGGGTGGGAGGAGAGACGGAGGGGACGGGAAGGTGGGTCTCTGGGGCTGGGTGGAGATGGCTTGGAAGGTTCCAGGAGAAGGGGGAGCCCGGAGCGAGGCTGCAGGGCTTTCAGAGAGGAGCCGGAGAGGGAGGAGGAGGCGGCGGCGGCAGGCAGATGGACTGTGCGCGGCTGGGCAGAGACGAAGAGGCAGGGCGCGATCTCGTGGGAAAGGGGCTCGGAGAAGGCGCCAGGGCGCACCGGCGGGGAGGCTGGGTTGGGCGGAGGAGTTGAGTTGCAGGGAGCGTGCCGGAGAATCGGGATGGGCGAGGGCGCGGGGTGGGGTGGGGGGCGGCGGGTAGGGAAGGAGAGGCTGTGGGTGCCGGGGTGGTGGTGGCCGGATCCGTGCGGAGCGCACGGGGGAAGGTGCGGGTGGTTGGAGAGAGTAGGCAGCGGCGGGTGGCAGCGCAGGGGGTGCGATGGGGAGCGGGGAGCCCTGGGATGCGGGAGTCAGAGGCGCATTGGGGAAAGGCCGGCGGGGAGGGAGGGAGGGATGCAGAGACGGCAAGAAGAAGCTGCCGGACGATTTGCGGGCAGCTTGGGAGACGATGGAGCAAAGGCTCCGGACGGTCCCTGATGGAGAGGTGGCGCCCCGCTGGAGAGGGACGCGGAGATCGGGTGCAGCGGGGCGCAGCGCGGGGCTTCCCGGGAGGAGACGGGGGTTCCTGAGCTCGGCGCTTACCTGCCTTTGCAGCAGGCGGGGGAGGCTGCGGTGCTGCTCCTGGTGGTGCTGATGCAGGAGGGATGCAGGAGGGAGCCTGGATGCTGATGCTGGGCCCCCTCCTCCGGCCTTCAGGGGCGATTGCCATCCCTCAGGGGGACCCCACTCCCCAGCCCCGGCATCCCTCCCTCCCGGCCGGCCGGTCGGCCACCGCCTGGCGCCCCCCTCCAGCCCGCCCAGGCAGATCCAGAGAGCGAAAAGAGAAGCAAATCCCGCCCCTTCGCCCAGCGCAGAGCTTGGGCGCGCCTGCCCCTTTAAGAGATCTCTGATTGACAAGCGTTCCGACCAACGAGCCTGCGGCATGGTCCGGGACAGCCCTTTAGGCACCGCCCACGCGTGGGGAAGGGAGGGGAAGCCGAGCTCCGAGTGGCAAGGTGGCAGAGCCAATGGGGTGGGCGAGCTGGTGGGCGGGGGGGCTGCGAGAAGCCAATTGGGGAAGCCTATGGGCGGGGCTCAGTTTTAGGATGATGTCATCCGGTGGTTCTTTAGGAAAAAGGAGGGGGAAGGAAGAGGAGGAGGAGAAAATCAGATGCATCGCAGGTTTAAAAAAAAAAGAAAAAGCGGGTAGGGGGGGAGTGACAAAAATGCACGAAATCCTTGCAATGACCCAGCCCGTGTTAAATAACGCAACAGTCCGGTGAGAAGAATGAGACGTTGCATCACGGGCGGAAAATGCACCACCAGATGCGTGCATAGAGAGAAAAATCGAGACAGTGAAATGCACCGATTCATGCAGCTCAGAGAGGATATTTATGCATGTACCACCTGGAGATACACCTACAGCTGAGAAAATGCAGCAACCCGGCGGAAAGCACCAAGAGGAGACACTCCAGCCCCGAGATGCACAAACTCTCTGCGAAAGGAGCCGGTGGGCTACAGAGGAGTGAAAATGCACCGGCCCATGCGACATAAAGAGAAATAAATCACGGCGCCCCGTTATGAGGAGATGCACCAGTTCATTTCGCCCAGGGGGGAAACAGCAAACCGTGAACCTCGAGAGAACCTGGAAGGGGAGGAAAGGGGTGACCCGCCAAACCACGTGCTGCTGAGAAATGCACCACTTCATGCAAGTCGGTGTAAAAAAAATAATGCATCAGTCCAAAAAATGGCATAGCCTAGAGAGATCCATCCACCACGCTAAGGAAATGGTCATGCAACAACCTAGGGAAACTCATTTGTGCAAAAGAGAAACGTGAAACAATGCCCAGCAAGGTAAGGAAGGGGTTTGGTTGCTGAGCTCTCTGGATGAGATGCGCTTGCTTAAGAGAACCCAGGAAAGACATGGAAATATATCAAGACATGGAGCGGTAGGGGAAGGTGCAAAAAAATCAATGCATGAAGCCAAATCGGAACAGCAAATAATTGCAAGGCAGGAGACAGTCCAGGGAGGGAGCAGCAACCGTGCATCATTAAGGGCCTTTCCAGATGGCAGGGGAGGGAAGTAACCCATTTTATTCTTGGTCCTCTGTCAATGCTAGCTCTGAATAAACTCTGGGATATGCTGTTTTGTCCTCACTGGTAACCTTTCTGATGTTTTCTTTATTTTTTTTGCACCGCCTTGGCTGGAGAGGGAAGGAGGATGCAGAACCTTCAAAGAACACAATCTTTTAAAAAAAAGTTTAAAGAGAAAAAGGAATAGAGAAAGATCCATGAATGGCAAGACTGCAGGAGGATGGTATATGTCCGGGGGTTTGCCAGTTACATTGGTGGTGCAACTGGGAAGCACCCAGTCTGTTAAAAAAAGAAGAAGAAAGGAAAGCTTGGTATTAAATGATTTACAAAAATACAGTGAGTCACAGGCACTAGCCAATAGGTCCTTGTGCAACCACAGTCCTTGACTAAAGTTGGGAGGGGAGTTGTGGATCATCTTTGCCCAATATTTTGCTTTTAGTACTGGCAAAATGCTGTTGCCCTGAAGGGAGTGAGTTTCAACTCAACACTTGAAAAGTATTTTCTGGAACGGCCCGAAGAAATGCGCCGAGTCTGTGACGAAGATGTGTCAAATGCATGCAGATGGCAGGTAATATTCTGATCATAACAGAGAGCAGTGGTGAACTTCCATCGGCACGGACTGCCTGTCAAGGAGATAAAACTTGGGAAGTCCATCGCAGTAAGGGTGAAAGAAACATCAGATTGCATGAAAATGTCCCTATTTGGTAATTCAGAGACCGGGGCCCTGTGAGAAGAGGCGGTGACCCTGTGTAGGGTCCCTGTGTAGCCTTACAGAGATGTGGAAGAAGAACCAAGGAACTGCACACATCTGTATTAGCTGCTCATCTTCAGCAAAGCTGTAGCACCCATTCATGTGGCCAGTGAAGAATGAACTGCTAGGAAGGAAACACAGCCCAGTTTTCTGATCCAACAGTGACATGTTAGCCAGTTATTGTGCACAGGAGAGAGTGGGGAACCTGAGGAATTCAACTACACTGTGCAGTTCATTGCAAAGTACACACTCTATCATAATTAGGCATCCCAGAGAGAAGCGTACCAGTATGTAAACACGCAATCTGTAGGAGGATCTGACCAGGGGTTCCAACTGGTCCAACATCATTTCCAGTAGCACTTACAGAACATAAAGATCATGGGCTGTTTCCTCTCCCAGGGGCTTCGTTATTACATAGTATACCTCCTGTGTATATGGGAGTTCATTAAGCCATTGTAGAGTTGGAAGGGACCCTGAGGATCATCTGGTCATAAGTCCCTGCAATGCATGAATATGCAGCTGTCCCATACGGGGATCGAACCTGCAGCCTTGGCGTTCTCAGCACCACGCTCTAACAAGCTGAGCTATCCTAGGTCACAGCCAAGAATGTTCCTAGAAACATTCTGTGTTTGTCTAAACCAGGGATGAGGAACCTGTGGCCCTAAAGGCTCCCAAGCCTCAGCTAGCATGGGCAATGGTCAAGGATGATGGGAGTTGTGGTCCAGCCTCATTTGACGGGCCATAGACTCCACATCACTCGTCTAAACCATGAGAAAGACGACTATGCTACAGGGACGATCACTGCTGTTTTAGTAACAGGGAATCTATGGCTCTCTGAACTACAACTTCCTTCATCCTTGATCATTGCCCATGCTCGCTGGGGCCGATGGGAGGTGGAGTGTTTTTTCGTATGCAGGTACAGTGGTACCTCGGGTTAAGTACTTAATTCGTTCCGGAGATCCGTTCTTAACCTGAAACTGTTCTTAACCTGAAGCACCACTGTAGCTAATGGGGCCTCCTGCTGCTGCCACGCCACCGGAGCACGATTTCTGTTCTCATCCTGAAGCAAAGTTCTTAACCTGAGGTACTATTTCTGGGTTAACGGAGTCTGTAACCTGAAGCGTCTGTAACCCGAGGTACCACTGTAAAAATGTTGGAATTTGCGTGTTTTTAGATATTTTTGTCATTTATGTGTTTGCTACCACTGGCACATGGCTGTCCAGAATTGGGGGGGGGTGATGGTTCTCCACTCCAGGGCTATAGCTTAGTAGCAGAGAACTTGCTTTGTATCCATGTTCAATTCAAAGGATCAGGCAGCAGATGAAGGGAGAGTCACTGTTAGACAGCCTTGAGCTAGGGGGAGAACCAGTCTGTCCCCCATTTAAGACAGATTTCTATCATCCCCACTGGGAATATTGTGTTCCCTATAGAAATCTTCGCATCTCTACGCTTCCCCCAAATCTGAAAGTGCACCCCTTTTGCTAGGTATACTCAAATTAAATTCCTGCACCAAACCTTCTTGTAAACCCTTCCTGCTTGGCTTTTATCTCTGTCTGGTTCTTTTAAAAATATCCCACACCCTATCTCCATAGCAGCAATCGGTTAATTTTAGACAACGCTCACTAAAAATTCCTTGATGTGGAGATGGCTCACTTCTGGATCATTGGTCCGTGTGACATTGGGGACCTGTTGGTCTGCGGTCCGAAGGGTTGGTGGCTACAGCAGAAGGGCTCAACCTGAGCCAGGATAACGCCCTGAAACATCTTCTTGCTGCTTCAGGAGGCAGGCATCATGATACGCAATTGTGATGGGGATATTTATTTGTGCTTCTTGCTTCGGGTCTGAATTGAGAGCCATATTGTTCATTGGAAGGAGGAATACATCAGGGATAGCGATCTAGCCCACCGTACAAAGGTAAAGTTTACGTTCATTGCTCCGCCCGTTTTGGCTTCTGGCTCTGCCCAACATTGGCATGTGGCCCCCAGAAGGTTGTGCAAAAGGAAATGTGGCCCTCAGGCTGGGAAAGGTTTCCCATCCCTGACATGAGATAGCTGCATTTGGACAATGGTAAAAAAGAAATAAGAACAACAATAATAACTAACCACCATTTTTTAAGCCTTTGTATCTTCATGGGGCTACAGAATACAGTGGTACCTCAGGTTACATACGCTTCAGGTTACAGACGTCCGCTAACCCAGAAATAGTACCTCGGGTTAAGAACTTTGCTTCCGGATGAGAACAGAAATCGTGCTCCGGCGGCGCAGTGGCAGCAGGAGGCCCCATTAGCTAAAGTGCTGCTTCAGGTTAAGAACAGTTTCAGGTTAAGAACGGACCTCTGGAACGAATTAAGTTCTTAACCCGAGGTACCACTGTAGACTCTACCCATCGGCCCTCCTTTTAGGAAAATAACATGTATTGTAGCCTAGTCACTTTCCCAGCTAGCATAGAAAAATCATTTCATTCACCACCTTTCCCGTGTTGGGCATCAGAAAACAGTGGTGAGCCTCAAAAGCCTGTGGCGCAGCAATGAAACTGCTATCACATTTGCAAAGCTAAGCAGGGCCCAGTATGGTTTCAAATTGGATGGGGACCTCAGGTGGAGTTTTTTGGGGGGTTGAGATTCCTGGACTAGATGACTCTTGGGATCACTTCCAACTCTACAATTCTCTGATTCTATGTTAACTTGGTCAGCTCTTGGAAGCCTGTATTACAGGAGTGGGTAACCTTTGGCCCCTCTGCATGTTGCTGAACCACAACTCCCATCACCCCTGGCCATTGGCCATGCTTGCCAAGGCTGATGGGAGTTGTAGTTCAGCAGCATCTGGAAGGCCAAAGGCTCTCCACACCCTTGCACCTGGGATTAGATTTCACCAGTGTTTACTCATCTGGTGCCCTCTGGATGTTTTTGGACCTCAGGCCCCAGCCTGCGCATGATTATAGGCCAAAACAGAGGGCACCAATTTGGTGAGCAGAGTTTCTGACTTAGA